TTGATGAGTATTTATTTTATGAAAATTCGCGGACTGATCGGTGTTTGGTCAAGTGTATAGCAGAATTTGAAAGTGAGTTTTGGGTGTTTGGATCATGATTTGAGATAAATTAGTTGGGTTTATTTTAATATATAATTGGACCATGTTTGACTTATGGGTGAGACCCATGGTTTAGATTCAATTTAATTTGAATTTGTTTGTGACTCATGTTTAACTGTTTGGTCCTTTTTAATTATATAATTGGTAGTAACCAGCTTGGAACTTGTTATTATTTATTATATAGGGTTATAATAAATATTTAAAAGTTAAATTTATTGTGTGTACCATATGGTGAAAAATTATTTATTTTATAAAGAATGAAATATGTATGTATTGTGTAGTGAGCAAAATACTATATTTTGTGGTGTACAAAAATATTATATTTTGTAGTGTGAAAAAAAAATATCATTTTATAATTTATATTATAAAATTTTGAGGTAATATTACAAAAATTACTTTAAAAAAAAAACCATTATTGAGAAAGAAAACCCACGTGGGGTTGCTTCCCCTTTTTTCTTTCCATCTTTTCCTTTTCTTTCTTTTCATGTTTGTGGTTAGGCAGAGAGCTCCCATCGTCTTTCTCTCTCTCTCTCCCATTTATTTCTCCATTGTTGGCTCAATCTTTGAGCTTCAAATGGGAGTCCTTAGAGTGAGGTTTTGTTAAAGTGTTGTACATGAAAGTCAGAGAACTCGTCGTGATCTTCTCAATGGTAGTCTCGGATTCATGATCGGGGTAAGATTTGCCTTCCAGATATGCTCTTCTTCATTATTTGAGGTAGTGACTTTCTTCATATCATTACATTAAAGTTATATTAGGGTTATTTTGAGAAAATATGTCATTTTAAGAGGTATTGCATATATATATTTAGATTTTTGTTGGGTAATTTTTGGGAGAAAAATTATGTTGAAATGTTAAAAACCCGTTTCCCAACATTCTTTTCTCAATGCAAATTTCCAAAGCTTAGTATAATCCAATGAATTGAAATGCCAATGTATGATTAATAATGCAATGCAACATTACTTCCATATTCAATTGTTCCACACAATATACCATTGTGATTGAAATTCCCAATACTCTTTTCAACACAATTCTATAAGATGAATATATATACTTTTATATCCAATTCATCCAAGAGAATAACATAATTTCCACATTCCGAGCAATCTCAACAATTTAGTCAATTCAATACTAAATCAACATTTCTTTGTTTTAGAACAACAATTTCCAAAACACCCATTTATTTGGCACACAAATAAATATGACAACATCTTTCAAGAATTTTGAACATCTTTTAAAAAAAATCCCAAATTTCTAGGTTTTCTCACCAAAACCATTCATCTTAAAATGTTTGAGAATATCTCACCAAAAACATCTTTCTTCAATTAACATAGTTTAAAGCCCTCAATTTCTATTTAAAAGGAATAAGAAAGTAAACCCACTTTCAAAATCATTCATCTTGATTGTTGTAGACAATGCATGATGATTAGGCAAACTGAAACTAATCAATGAAGTGTGTCATGGAATTTGACGGTTGATAGAATACATTAACTGTATGTATTGAGTGATTGTATATAGAACCATTGTGTTTGTATACGTTATGTGTAGAGGAGGAGATGGGGGATGTACTCCGCGGTTTAGGGGAAGATAGGGGATGTACCTCTAAACCGGATAGTGTTGGGAGAAGATAGGGGATGAACTCCGTAGATACAGCTCATATGCTTGTCTAGAAAAGTGAAGATAGAGCTTATATGCTTATCTTTGTGAAGTGTGGATATAGCTTATATGCATATCTGTGAATGTGGGATAGTGTTTTACACATATCTGTTGAAATAATGATAGAGCTAACATGCTTATCTGTTGAAAAGGGGAAAATGAAAGGTAACTTGGACTCATAAGTCGTATGACATAAATATGTGATTTATGTGAATGTATCAGTGTTGGCCATCTATCAATTGCTAACATTTTAGTCATTGTTCATGGTTGGTTTAGTGTATTTCTACTGGGCTGTGGCTCACCCTATATGGGAATATTATTTTCAGGTACAGGAAGAATGCCACCTCCAAGGACATAGCTTGGGAGGCTAGAGGCGGACATAATGTTGTCGTTTTACTTTTTGATGTATTACATGTAAATACAAGCCAATGGCTTAATGTGTACGAGTTAGTACTCTTTTGATGTAACCAAGTGTTAACTTGGAAAGCTGTAAGCCTGTAGGGCATTTGCTTTTGTTGTTAACATGTAATACTTTTGTAATGAAACTCTGATAAATGAAAGAATGTGGAACTTTTGAATATCAATGCATGTCTTATTTGTTGGGATTAATGTAATTATTTTGAGGGCGTTACAGAACTGCTCAAGAGTCTCATCACCTGTCTCAGCCTGTAAGGGATCATCTGCATCACCTAAACCTTGTTGGTCATCCTGAACATCATGTTCAACATGTGCAGGCAAATCACCTGTCTCAGCCTGTAAGGGATCATCTGCATCACCTAAACCTTGTTGGTCATCCTGAACATCATGTTCAACATGTGCAGGCAAATTTGTCAAAGGAACTGGATCCAAGTCAACTAGACCATCACTATGCCAGGTCATTGTGTTCTCTTCTTTTTCAATATCTTGTATAGTTTGATCTTCAATAAACACAACATCTCGGCTTCTCACTAGTTTCTTGTCAACTGGATCATATAACATGTAGCCAAACTCATCTAGGCCATAGCCTAGAAAAATGCACTGTTGGGTCTTCATATCAAGCTTAGACCTCTTATCTTTGGGAATATGAACAAATGCTTTACATCCAAAGACATGTAGGTGATCATAGGAAACATCCTTGCCAGTCCAAACTCTGTCTGGTACATCAAACTGAAGAGGAACACATGGTGTGAGATTAAGAACATGTACAACTGTGCTCAAAGCTTCACCCCAAAAGGATCTTGGCAACCGTGTTTATGAAAGTAAGCATCTAACTCTTTTAACCAGTGTTTTGTTCATCATTTCAGTTAAACCATTCAACTGAGGAGTCTTCGAGGGTGTCTTTTGATGTCGAATACCCTATTGTTTGCAATAATCATCAAAAGGACCGCAATACTCTCCCCCATTATCTGTTCTGATGCACCTGAGCTTCTTCCCAGTCTGTCTCTTCACTCAGGCTTGGAACTGTTTAAAAGTCTCCAACACTTGATCTTTGCTTTTTAAAGTGTAGACCCACAACTTCCTTGAATAATCATCTATGAAGGTCACAAAGTAACGGGAGCCACCAAGTGTTCTTGTCTTCATAGGACCA